GCGTGAGCCATAATACTAAAAACAGTGTCAGTTTGTGATTCGAATTTTCCAATTTTTAGTATTTTGACTGTAACATTCTTAATTCTGCAACAATTTGAAATTTTTTTATCAAAATAATCAGCGTAAAAATCTTTATATTACCAATCTGAATCTGTCCACATCGTTCACAGCTAACTGAGTTAACAGTACTCATCATCCGAATATTGAAAATTCAATAGCAATTTAGGCGAAGTTTGAAGAATTCAATGCATTATACAACGAGAATGGCTCGAAGTATTGAGATACACAATTCTATTGAGGAAATTACTAAGATTGGTCATGAATCGTAGCATTCGTTAGGATGTTGCGATACATGTTAACATACACAATCACGATTGAGGGGCTCCTAGAACTAATTTTGACTTGATTTTCTTGAATGTTATGAATATCTTGAATTTCTAATATTTAGGCGGTCGATATATTTTCTATTCATTTGTTACGTATAATGTCTGGTGTATTATAAAAATCACTATAGAATGATAAAATGATTAGATATAAAGATTTTTTTGTGTCTCTTTAGCTTCATATTTGAATATTGCTTGTTCATTTTCTAATTCATGTTGCTGTGCATTATGCTGATCTTGCATTGCTTTTTTTTTGACGTCGTACTTCTTGTAAATTATCGTCTTCAGGATTCAAATCTTTTAAATATCGTATCATGATATCTGACTGATCAACTTTTTCTAATGCTTCAATATTTTGTCGAATACGTTCTTGATTTTCCAATATCGATTTAATATCTGTTTGACAGAATTCAATCTATTTTTCAAGATCATGTAGTATTCTTCGAATATGTATAATATTAACAGCTTTATCGAAAAGTAATGTGGATATTAAATCATGTTTTGGTGTCCATGTTTGAATTTGCCTATCTGTGATTGGACTATAAAGCATTTGTCGAAGAACTTGTCAAATAAATTTATAGGCAATCATTTTCTGAATTAAATTAACCGTTCTATTTTCTATTATTTTTGCTTGAACGAGATTAGGTACTTGTTTTTCTACGAATAATTCAAGTGCAGTTAATACAAATATTTTTTTACTATGTCTTGCTTGTTCATCAACAATAAATTCAATATCTTGTTGTGGTTCAAATTTTAGTTCAAAACGACTACAATCTTTTACTGATTTGATACATCTATTCTGTGTAGTAACAACATAACCACCTAAAGAAGAATCAGCTATATGATCAATATAAAATTTTGATATAGACCGATCTAAAACGGTATTTTTAATTAAATAACGGGTACGTTTAATATAAAGTTGTTGAAGACCAATGCCAATTGGAACAGTATTTGTATTAAGTTTACCAATTTCTGGATAAATAATATCAATACTATCATTATGAACTTGAAGTGGTAATGGAATAGTACAAATAGATATAGTGGAATCAAAGCCATAACTTAAACAAAAAAAATATCACCTACACATAGTTGGTAAGAATCAAAAGTAGTGAACTAAAATCAGAATTTGGTACTCTTTTCGAATACGTCATCGGAATATTTCTCTGGTTTAGAAATTATTAGAAATGATCCCAATGTTAACAGTCCTACCTAATGTTTTCAGAGTATCTTTTTAACTTCAAGTTAGCCTTCACTTCAAGATAATAGGCTAAGATAGATAGCACAGTTTGTAGAGCAAACTGTGCTCTAACAAACTCGTTGATGTAGATATCAAATAGTATTCACGTTTTACATTGAGTGGACTTTGCTCGGTCAAAATACAAAAATTTGTCAAATAAAATTCTTTACAGAACATCATTATCGATTGTGTCAAACATTTGGTTCAATCCTCAGCCAGAAAAATACTCTGATTGTATATGCACAAAGTGCACAACATTCTGATAGTAGTTAACTACTGACAAATGAACAAACATTTTGTGTCAAGTGTTTTGGAGCAGCAGTTAGATTAAATAAAAAAAAATTAATCTTTTCTTGTGACTTTTACTGAATTAATTGATCATCGTTTGGTAACATTGTTGTAAAAACGCATTGAGCAACAAGTCGTCCTCTATCTAATATAGCAATACTTCCAGGAGCCAAGACAACATCCATATTATTTTTCAAATGAACAGCTTTGATTGCGCTTAAATCATTGATTTTCGGATTATAGTAGAGAACAAATTGTGCATCCATTTGCTATCTATTAATTGTTACTGGAGCACTTTCATGTGATCGAATAGTAACAGGTCTATTAATTGTATAAACAACATGCTCATGAAGACCACTCATTTCTCTAGAATCGATCGATTCGTAATTTCCAACATCATCATCTGTTTTGAAATTCGCATTGATAGTCGTTTTTTCATCTTTTGAAAGGATTGAATCATCATGACGAGCAACTGAACTACTTCGTGATCGAATAAGCAAACATAGAACAGACTCTAATATGAAGATATACCTATCTCTTTTTATTCTTTTCAGTATTAACCCATGTCGTCTTCTTTTATTCAATAACGCCGCTATATCGTCAAAACGGCAAAAAACAGCGTTATTGAGCAGAATGATGACGCTATTTATCGCAATATTATATAGCGATCATTGCGACGCGATTACGGCGAAAAGCAAAAAGCGACGCTATAATCGCAATATTGTATTGCGTTCATTACGCCACGATAACGGCAAAAAGCGACGCTATTATAATCGTACTATGCTTTTATACCAAATAGTACACTTATTATTATGAACAGTTGAACTTTTGCTGTATGGTATAATTCTTGTGATCTTGTACATATAACTTGGAAATATACTCGGCTAACTGACGTAGTCTTCAGTAGTCAAAAATTCAGTCCTTGCATGAACTGATCGCTTTTGTGCTCGTTGTTTCGTAGAAACTCTAGTAATAAGATTGATGATCGATCACGACATCAGTAATAATAAAATCTCCATGCAATGCCGCCCAAGGTGATTGATACTAATCATGTGCTTTGCTAGTCATACATTATTTCAGTTGATGCTACTATTAATTGAAAACTAAATATCGCAAAAAGGACACTTATTCAATGAGTATTGTTGTGGTTGACAAAATGTTACGACGAAATTCGAAAAAAATAAACAATATTTATCAATTAAAATATTATGAAATCGAGTTTTATGAATTTTTAAGCACCATATTGTTCGACACGTCCAAACAAAAATCGTACAATGCATTGATACAATATTATTAGCGTGCTAAATTTATTTTTCTAACTATTCTATCAACATTTACTATTATATAATGATCAGTAGCATCGTCTACTTTTATGACAATTATGTTTCTTTAACCAATAATCATCTTCAATTCTAATCTTTGTCTGCAGCTGTATAATTGCTCAGCTTTTTGCAACAAAACAGATGATCGTATAAGAATAGAAGTAAATATAGAGAAATTTAGACGTCAGAGGTCAACGATTGTCAAAGAAGGCGGCCTGCAAGAGATGTAGTGTAACGGTCATTTCTCATCATGACAACATTGCGGACGACTGCTTATACAGCTGCGCTCATAAATGAAAAAAAACTTTTGCTTCACTAATCCAAATGAAAGATAAATAGTTTCTGAAAATTTTCGATGATATATATTTTCTCAGATTCTGTTAGTAAAATCAAGTGCATTACAGTAATTGATAATTTTTATTGTTCTACTTTTTCATTCTCCTTTGTTTTAGATGTAATTTTCATTAAAATACTTATAGACGTCATTGATGCTGATGGTACAAATCTCTTATCAATTCTAGTAAGTGCAGAATTCATTTTTTTAATTATTTGTGTCTCATGTATTTAGATTTTCACATCATCAGACGTCAATCTATGCACTGATTTATGGAAAATCCCAGCAACAGATGAATGATAGTAGAAAAATAAAATCTTTGTGTAGGCTGCCAGTAGCTTTTTTTATGTATTCTATGTTAAACAGTTTTTTGTATAAGAAATTTCTTTTTTTTGTAAAACTTTGTTTTTTTGTATTGATTATTTTTTTGTGTTAAATATCACATGAAATTCATATTACTAGTTTTTTAACATAGTGATTTCTTGTGTGATTAAATAAAAGTTCGAAAATAAAAATATTTATTGAACTGATTTATGAGTAAACTTTTAGATGTAGCTAAGGTCTACTAAGAATACAGGTGCAGTGAAGTATCGGAATATGCAAAAATGTAACGCGTAAAACTAGTTTATATTGTCGCTATAACGCGTAAAATTAGTTTATATCGCCGTTATATCGCGCTATTGCGAACATAGCGGGCGCGAAAGGGGGTCACTATGCGATCGCAATAGCGGCGATATCACGCCGCTATTTAGCCGCTATCGATGACATGGGTAAAAACGCCGTCAGAAAGGTTATTCGTCAATGCAATTAGTGAACTCGAAGAGAAAAGATTTTAGAAATATA